GCCATCTGCAACAACATGGATAAAACTAGAGAGTGTTATGCTAAATGAAATATGTCAGGTAGAGAAAGACAAATACCATATAAGTTCACGTCTATGTGGAATGTGAAAAGCAAATTAAATGAACAAACAAAACAGAAACAAACTCATAGATACAGAGAACATTTTGATGGTTGCCAGAGGCGAGGGGGGTTGAAGGGATGGGTGAAAAGGGGGAAGGGATTAAGATGTACAAATTGCCAGTTATAAAAACAGTCACAGGAAATGTAAAGTACAGCATAGGGAATATAGTCAATAATATCGGAATAACTCTGTATGGTGTGAGATAGATGCTGGACTTATCGGGGTCATCACTTCATAAGTTAGATAAATGTTTAATCACTATGTTGTACACCTGAAACTAATATAATACTGTACGCCAACTGTTATTAAAAAATAAAAAAATATTTTAAAAAGACAAAAGAAAGTGATTTGCCACAGTTCAATGACAGAATGTGAGTGAGAGCAAAGGTGCCTGTGGTGGGGAGAGCACACCTGAGTCACTACTGAGTCACCTTGGGAAAAGGCCTGTAAAATGGGGATTATAGGCTCTCCTTTGCAGAGAAAGTTTTTTCAAGGACATGTATATGACAAGTACATAACTGGCCCAAGACATGATTGCCAAATGGTAGTTATTGCTCTGATATAGGTGGTATAAAATATAATGGATTATTTCTAATTACTTCTATTACATCAAATTAGTAGCATTCCAGGCCTGAGAACTGCTTCCAGAACCTCAACTTGTAGCTCAAGCATCATAATTTTCCAAAGACACTTGTCCCCATAGCTGCCTTGTCACCTTGCCTCTCCTCTGAGCTTTTTCATGTGTGCCTTCCTGGGTGATCATGTGGCCTAAGCACCCCTACCTGGTGATGTTTCTTGTTATGTAATTTGACATTTGAGGGTGTAGCCATTCTGCGGTCTCATTCATCTCTGAATCCAGTGCCTTCCGTAAAAGCAGAGACATAGTAAGTCCTTGATAAATGCTCAAAAATGACCAAATACCTTATACATAGTAAAGACTTGTGGAATAAAAAGCAGTCCTGGTCTTGCACTGTGTTACAGACAGCTCAGCTGAGATAATATCTGAGTTTTATTCTGCTCCCTCCCCTGCTTGCATTTCCTCTATTCAAGTAGGACTCAGGGGAGAGGTGTCCCTGTGTGGGAAGAGGAGAAAGTAGAAATCCTGGCTTTTGCTTTCATAACATAGGGGAAAGGATTCTTGGTACAAAGTGACTGGGCCAGAAACCAGCACAGAAAAGAATTTCTCCTAGATTGAAAAACATAGCCCAAAGATTTAAATGTGAAAAATGATTAAAATTATTAAAAGCTCTAGAGAAGAAACCATCTGATAATTTCTTTATAACTTTGGAGTATGAAAGACCTTTCTAACTATGACCCCAAATCCAAAATCTATAAAAGAAAAGATTGACAAATAGACTACACAAAACAAACAACCAAACAAAAAATTTCTTCATGGTAAAAAACAACTTAAGGAAAGTCCAAAGACAAATGAAAAATGGGAACAAAGCATTTGCAACTTATATCTAAAAAGTAAACAGAACAGAAAAGACCAGATACCCAACAGAGAACTGGGCAAAGGCAATGAACAGACAATTCACAGAAGCATAAAGAAAGATGCCTGGTCTTATTCCTAAGAGACAGGCAAATTCAAACCACGCTGATGCCATCTTCCACCAAGTAAATTGTTAAAAATCCAAAAACTTAATAACACCTATTGGCAAAGTCACAAGGAAAGTGGCATTCTCATTTATTATGGGAGGAGAGGAAATAGGAGCAATCCTCATGGAAAGCAATTTGGCAACATTTGCTGATGTATTTACCCATTAACACAATGACTAAACCCTGGGATTTATCCCATAGTGTGAAATGATAAATTCATTGTAGCAATGTTTGTAAAAGCAGAACATTGCAAATAACCCAAATGTCCATCAATAGGGGATTGACTGAGTAAACTATAGCATGCTTATACACTGGACTATTATGCAGCTATTAAAAACAGGAATGAGGAAGTTCTTTATATATTGTTTTGGAAATAACTCCAAGATACAGTAAGTGGAAAAACGAAAATAAAAAACAAGGTACATAACAGCATGGCTCATAAGCTCCCTTCCTTCTTTATCTCTTTTCCTTCCTTCCTTCCTTTTTGCAAAAGGAAGTTCTAATCTGTAAATTTATAAGTGTTGGTGTATACATAAAAAAACACTGTAAGGAAACAAACAAGCAAAAACCCCAGTGTTTTGAATAAGTTACTTAGGAATAGATTTAACAAAAGTATTCAAAACTTGTACATTGAAAACTATAAAAACATTGTTGAAAGAAATTAAAGAAGACCTAAATTAATAAAGAGGCATTCCATGTTCATGGATTTAAAGACAATATTGTTAAGATGGCAATACTTCCCAAATTGTTCTACAGATTTAATACAATTCCAGTCAAAATTCCAGCTGGCTTTTATGCAAAATTTGACAAGCTGATCCTAAAATTACACAGAAATGCAACGGACCCAGAAGAACCAAAACAATCTTAAAACAGAAAAAATAAAGTTGGAAGACTCACACTTGCCAATTTCAAAACTAAATACAAAACAACAGTAGATAAGACAGTGTGGTACTGGCATAATGATAGACATAGATCAATAGAATAGAATGGAGAGTCCAAAAAGAAAGCATAACATTTATGGTCAATTGATTTTCAACAAAGGTACCAAGACAAATCAGTGGGAGAAAGGACAGTCTTTTCAACAAATAGTGCTGAGACAAGTGGATAGCCACGTGTGAAAGAATGAATTTGGACCCTTGTCTCACACCATACACAAAAATTAACTCACAGTAGCTCATAGACCTAAATGTAAGAGCTAAAACTAGAAAACTTTTAAAAGGAAAGGGGTGCAAATCTCATGGGTTAGGGAATGACATCAAATGCACAAATGATTACAGAGAAGATTGAGAGATTGGACTTCATCAAAATTAAAACTTTTATGTTTCACAGAACACCATCAAGAAAATAAAAGGACAATCCACAGACTTGGAGGAAATATTTGGCAATCATATATCTGATAAGGAATTTGTATCCAGAACATATAAAGAACTCATATAACTGAATAACGAAAGGACAAACAATCCAATTTAAAAATGGGTTAAGGAGTTAAATAGATATTTTCCCAAAAAGATACACGAATGGCTAAGAAACACAAGAAAAGATGCTCAGCATCATTTGTCATTAGAGAAATGTACATTGAAACCACACAGAGGGCCGCCGAGTGGCGCGATGGTTAAGAACTGGCTTGGAATGCCAGAGGGCCCCGGTTCGGATCCCACATATGAGGGCCAGTGACACTGCCCTCCACAGCTAAGATGCTGAACAACAGCTCGACCTAGAGCTGGGCTGCCATGAGTCGCCGGCGACGGCGTAGGCTGCAGCCCCTGTGGCAGTGGGTTGCCACGGGCTACCGTGTGTAGCCAGCAGCCAGTGTGAGTGGTCAGCAGCCAGAGTGAGCGTCCGTCCAGAAGCCAGCGACTGATCTGCCTCGCCCGGGAAGAGCATGCAATGATGGTGCCAAACTTGGGCCAGTGAAGCAACATCCTCCACAACTAGACTGAAAAACAAAACGACGGCAACTTGTCTGTTCCCCTTCCCCCAATTCCCCAGCACTGTTCCCATCCCCCCAATTCCCCAATAAAAATCTTAAAAAAAAAAACCCACACAGAGATACCTACTAGGATGGCTATAATGAAAAAGACAGACAAAGACAAGTATTAGCGAGAATGTTGAGAAATTGGAACCCTCAGGCATTAAGTGGGATTATAAAACAGTGCAGCCACTTTAGAAAAAAGGTCGGCAGTTCCTCAAAACGTTAAACACAGACTTACCACGACTCAACAATTCCACTCCCAAGAGAATGAAAACATGGCCACCCAAATACTTGTCTATGAACGTTCATAGCAGCAATAATCACAATTACAAAAAAGTAGAAACAACCCAAATGTTCTCAACTGATGAATGAATAAATAAAATGAGGTGTATCCTTTAAAACGGAATACTATTTGGCCATAAAAAGGAATGAAGTACTGATACACACTACAACATGCAAGAATCGGAAAAACATTATGCTAAGTAGAAGAAGCCAGTCACAAAACACCATGCTGCATTTTTATAAATTGTCCAAATATGTAAACCTATAAAGACAGGAAGTAGATTAGTGGTAGCGTAGGGCTAGGGGTGGGGAGGAATGAGGAATAACAAGGTTTCTTTGGGGGATGATGAAATGTTCTAAAATTCGATTATAGTGATGGTTACACAATTCTGAATATTCTAAAAAAAACTGAGTTGTATACTGTAAACAGGTAAACTTTAAGGCGTGTAAATTATATCTAAATAAAGCTGTTTATTCTAGGGGAGGCAGGAACTGGGCAGACGGAGGACAAGGTGAAAGGCTTTCTACTATATAACTTTTTATACTTACTGGTCTTCCAACATGTAACTACTATCTAGTCAGCAAGCAAATTTAAAAAAATAAGAGGATCAAACAAAATTAAAAAAAAACAAACCAGACCCTTCCCTCATTTGTGGGGAGGAGAGGGAGAAAGCTGCCACCCACCCCAACCAACTGTGAAGCGATGGATGGGTAGACAGTGGGTTAGATTGGACAAGGGAAGCCTTAGAGAGCTTTCAAAACCTATTCATCGTCTGGAAGCAACCAAGCTGCTGGACCTAAAGGGGACATACTGTACCAATCGGCCAGATTGCAGACACCCAACTGACCAGTGGGTGCCGTGCCTGCTCCTCCTTCCTCCACCACCACCTGGACCTACAGAAAACCCCAGAACCATCATCCAGCCTCAAGAGTGGCAAGAACACCCCCAAATTGACACCTGCCGAGCAGAACAGGAGCTTGAGAAAGAAGCTCCTTTAACATATGGGGAAGAACACCTCTTGCACACCTGAGTCTGTGGCCCCAGCCCACACCCTGGGCTCTCCTGCACGCCGACACCAGGGAGCAGCCAGAAAAGATGATTCTTGGGGCCTCCTGGCTGTACTTCCTCATGTACGTGGCTTGTTAATACGTTCTATATCAAGAAAGACCTGTGGTCAAATTAATTTGAAAATCATTGGGTTAAAGAAAGTGAAAGCATTGTAACTGCAGCCCTTCTCAGACCCTTTGCTTGTGACTTTTCAAGTGGAGCTCTGGCAGGTTCAAAACGCTTTCATGTTTTTGAAGAACATCTGGTGGGACAGAGGCCCTTCTGCATTTTACAGCTGAGGAAACAGAGCCCAGAGAGGTAAAGGGGATCATCCCAGGTCACACAGCAAGTCTGTGAACAGCGGGAGCTAGAACTCCTGACACCTGTCCAGGGCTGATTCTACTGCACCGGATCACAGCTTCCTGACTCATGGTCCTGGGCGATCTCTGGAACCTGCCTGGTCCAACTCTTTCAGAAATTTTACATATTTGAGTCCTTAGTTGGGGACATGTCTGGGGTTATGTGGCTGCTGGACTTAAAGGGAATCAAGAGAAAAGCTACACTCCCTGCCTAAGGTGCAGGGGGCAGAGCAGCAGGGAGCAGCATTCAGATCCAGCCCACCCATGGCCTTGACATGTTCTCAAATCCAGCTTTGGGTCCCCTCTGCAGTGTGACGGACTTGAATCCTCTCATCTGCTTTAGCAGCCTATGTGCTCAACAAACCTTTAAAACCTGCCCTGATAAAAATTCTACAAGATAAATGATCCAGTTTCTTCAAGAAATAAAGAGCAAGGAAACAAACAGTGAGACAGAATGGGAGCTGTTCTAGATTAAAACATAGAACAAAATGTATAATGTGGGCAGTGTTTGGATCCTAATTTGAACAAATAAATTGGAAAGACATTGATGAGACAGTTGAGAAAGTTTGAACATGGGCTATTTGGTGACACTAAGGAATCATTCTTTTCAGAAGTGGTCGTGGTATGATGGATGGTTAGTTTTTTGGGTTTTGTTTTTTAAAGAGTCTTTGTTTTTAAGAGATAAATCCTGAGGTATCTACAAATCAAACAATGTGGTATTTGTATTTGCTTTGAAATGATCCAGCAGGGATGAAGAGGGAAAATGAGGGGCATGGATGTTATGAGGTTCGCCATATATTGATATTTGTTGAAGCTGGCTGATGTATGCAGGAGAGTATGTTAAACTCGCCTCTCTACTTTTGCCTAAGTATCAACTTCAAAATAAAATATTTTTTAAATGTCCTGGTCCATCTGGCTCTGGGCTCTGGGGCCAACTAGGAGCGGGCGTGGGGGTCACGGAGGGAATTCCTGCCTGTGGGGCTGACCCTCCGGCCTCACGGCTCCTCTCCTAGAATGCAAGGCGCAGACCCCAAAGGCCTCAGACTTGGGGTTCTGCACGTGCGAGGGCATGGGGAAGCCCCGGGACTGCCTGAGCTTGCTCACCCGCTGCGGGCGCCGCGCCCACCAAACCCCACTGAACCCACAAGGGGCCCCCCAGGCCCAGGCCTCCTCGCGCCCATTCGCCTGCCTCCGCAGCTACTCACACCGTTTCTCCTGGCCTGCCCGGCTCAAGCCACCTCGCCTGCTCTGGCCCAGGCAACGCATTATTCAGGATGTTTATTATCAGCCTTAGATTTGATTAGTGCCTAGCCTGCACTTCCTGGGTTCCCCCGCCCCCCTGCAACCTGTAAAATGTAAATCAACAGCACCTACACCCACCCCTACGCCTGCGCAGTCTGTTTCAGGGGCTGAGGTGGGTTGGACTTGACCTGACGCTCCAGGACTTGGGTCGGTGCTGTCTGCGGAGCCTTCGCTGCATTCATGGTGCCCACAAGGGCGCAAAGAACAGGGGAAGACCTGGCCTGGCCTTAGGATAGGGTCTAAACTCTAGTATGGCCCAGATCTGGCTTTGGCCCATCATTTGGGCCTGGTCTCCTGCTCCAGTGCACACACCCCAGGCTGCAGCCAGGGTGAACCAGCTCTGTAGTCTCCAAGCATTGCTCAGGCACCTTCCCTCTTCCTGGACAACCTTTTCATGTTTTGTTGCCTGATACTCTCCTCGTTTTTTCTTCAGGCTCAGTTGAGGTGTCACCTCCTCCAGGAAGCCATCCCTGACTGCTCCAGGCTAGGTTAGGAGCCTATTCTGTGCTTCCTAAGGCCTGTTCTTACCCCTATCAAAGACTCAAAAGGTTGACACTAGAGCCAGACAGCCTGGGTTTGAATCTCGGCTCTGCCACTTACCAGCAGAAAGCCTTGGTAGCAATTTACTTCACTTCTTTGTGCCTCCATTTTCTCTTCTGTAAGATGGGTATAATAATGGTCCCTGTCTCACAGGTTGTTATGAGAATGAACTGAGTTAACAGTTAAATTCTTAGAGCAAGCTCTTGGCACATAGTTAAGTTCTCAATAAATAATATTAGCACTGTAAGGCTTATTACACGGTTGTAACTTTATTTCTATCTTACCAACTCCTCTGAAACCTCTGCAGGGATAGGAAGCCCAGCAGCTTAAGGCTGGAATGAGATGAATTTAGAAGCCACAGACAGCCTGTGGAGTTTAGGAAGTAAACGTTAAGGAATAGGAAGAAGGATTCAGACAGGTGGAGAAAAAGAGGGAAGGCACTGGGACAGGTGAGGGCAGGAGGGAGGAGAGCCAAAGGTGAATTTGAATGACAGTGAGCAGAGGAGGAGAGGAAATTCAAATGGTTGATAAACCTAAAAAACATTCATCAATAGTCAGAAAAATACAATTTAAACAACAATGAAAAACTAATTTTCATTCAGCAGCTTGGTAAAGTCTTACAATTTGATAATGTTAAGTGCTGGAAGTAATCTAGGAAAATATGAACTCACACCCTGCTGGGGGAGTGAGTTGGTACAGCCATTTTGGAGGGCGATCTGCCAGGGTCACTTAAAATGTAGAACATACCCCTAACTCACGACCCAGAAATTCTTCTCCATACACCACAGACACACAAGAATGTTCACCGAGGTGCAGTTAACAATACCGAGCAACTTGAACAATATAAATGCCCATCCCGCAAAGGATGGCTGAATAAACAAGGTCCAGAGGTCATACACAGGAGTCCTAGGCAGCAGGTAAAAAGGATGAGATAGATCTGTAAGATTGTTGAGATTGGAAAGATTGTCAAGACAGATCGTTGAATGGATAAAACTAGTTTACAGCATGATACTTACAGTGAGATGTCTTTTAGTAACACAAAACCACACACACACAAAGCTGCTCTGTAGTGTCTGTGATCGCTTACATGTGCATATGATGCAGACGTCTGAATGAATAGGCATGATGACAACGACTGCATCCAGGTAGGGCAAAAGGGGACCAGGTTTGGGGTTGATGGTCAGAGGGAACTTGAGCCCTATTTGTGATGCTTTAATGTTTTACACAGAAAAGATAATCAGGTATCACTTGTGTCAATGAAAAGTAATGAAACCACAGCTGGGCTGGTGAGGTAGATTTGGGAGCCAGAGGCAATCATAGATTCTGTTGCCTGTTGAAATGGGGCAAGCCCAGAGTCACTGTTGAATGCCCTATTTCATCTCCTCCTTACCTTCTGTTTGCATATCCCTAGGGCCAGGGCTCTCACCACCATACAAAGCAGCTGGCTTCCAGAAGTTCAGCTCTGACCGTTAGAAAGCTCATCTCTGTCTTTTGAACAGACTGTGCCTTCCTTAAATGGACCCACTGGACTGAACACTGATCTCTGAAGCCACTTGTATTGTCTTGCCTAATGAGGTTGCCCTTTGGAGCCTTAAGCCAGCTAGGTTGGGCGTGAAATGAGAAACAAACTCCAACCTGATTTTTGGGGTGGCTGAGAATTGAATGGTAGGGTTCCCTAACATCTCATTGATGATCATTGCTTGTTAATGCTTTTACTCAAACACCATTTACAGCTAATGGATTTTATTTGCCTTCTATTTTCTTTAATTAGAGGTAAATTTACATGCAGTGAAATGCATGTATTTTAAGTGAGTAGGTCACTGAATGTTGACATATGTGCATACCCAGGCAACGCTATCCAGATCTAGACTTAGAACACATTTAGCCCCCCTCATCCTTCCTTCCTTCCAGGCAGTCCATCCCACCCCAGATTAGTCACTATTCTGACTTCTATCACCATAGATTCATTTTGCCTGTTTCTGAACTTTGTGTAAATGGGACCATAAAATGGGATCATCCACTTTCTTCTGGCTCCTTTTGATTGACATTAGATTTTATTTAACCAGACAGAACAAAGCTATGGAGCGCTTTGGGGGGGAAGCTGTTGAGTCTGTGGGCCTCATTTTCTCCTGGCTCAATGAACGTGAAGCTCAAACAGGACAGCCAGGTGAAAGCACTGAGACCCTCTCCCCGTGCCACATGACTGCAACGAGAACAGGGGCTGGGCCTTCTGAGCCTCAGTCTGAACATCCTATAGCTCATTCTGAAACCAGCACTTTCTGAGCTGTCTCCAGGGGGGTACAGGATTTTTATTTTAAGCTCCATAGTCCAAGTGACAGGATTGTTTGAGAACCCAGAGCGCAGATACCTTGTATACCTCAAGGCTTTTGAGCTGGTTCATTCACATATGTGTGCTTAGACAGTTAAAATGAGTACACGCTAAAGACAAATTCAAACAGTGTGAAAGGGAATAGAGAGAAAAGTCCTTTTCTCTCCCATCTAGTTACTCTAGACCGCCATTTCCACACTCAAAAGCAGCCAGTCCTGTCCACACAGCCTTTGGCAAAGCCAGCATATCTGTGTCATTAGATGATAGATACTGCTTCATCCTCCCCACGTTGATTTGCTTGTTCGTTTACACAATTGCTGGCTTATATAGATTAAACACACTGTTGATATGCTGCTTTTTTCACTTAATATAGTCTATCAATTAGCCCCTCTCTTTTTTTTTTTATTTCTTATAAGAGTTTATTTGAGCCGAATTGACAACATACGCTGGGGAGCAAGATATCAAATGCCCCCTAGTCCTTCTCTTTTTAAATGAGCTCTTTAAATGCTCATTAAAAATAATAACAACAGCAAGCATTTATGAGTGTGGCCCTTACCATGTTCCAGGCACTATTCTAAACACTTCACACATGTCTTTTAACACATATTCTGTCTTCTTCATGTCTCATCAGATGGCTTAAGTTCCTTAAGTGGAATTACTTGGTCAAAGGGAACATTGTCATCTTGATCAATACTTTCCAGTGAGACTGTTCCACCCTACACAAGTGTGTGTGCGACATTTTGGGCCCAAGGCTCCCTGATCACGCTAGGTGCTGTGATCTCTTGGAGGCAGGGAGGCTTGATTCCTTCCTGCGCTGTGTCTGCCACCCTACTTTGGCCTCCTTGAGGCAATGCGATTGAACCTTCTCTGAGAGTCTAAGACGTAAGACAAAAGCAAGTGCATCCAAAAAGACATTTCTTAGAACTGCAGTAAAAACCCTGATTTTCATGATTGCAATTTACATATACCACTCAGATGTGCTGAATTTCCTACGTTGCTCACACATCCGTTTCCTCAGCTTGTACTGATTTCTCATAAATGCTAGATATCATTACATTAGCAAAACCTGCTTGAAAGACACAAAGAGTGGTTTCTTTACAGTAAGAGTTCCCAACCTTTTGTGGGAAGACTAAGTTTCTTTTTCCATTTAAATTTCTTTTTCCTAAAAACTTGTTATAATATTATGAAAATTTCAAAACTCATAGAAAGCTTAAAAGTAAAGTAAAATGAATACCCACGGACCCTCCACCAAGATTCAACTACTACCCACAATGGCATCAACATCTCCCTATCTACCTTTCTGCTGAGACACCTGAAGGTGATTGCAGACCTCAGGACTGTTCACTCATAAAGGCATCAGCAGACATCTCCTAAGATGCATATTCTCTTACATGGACTACCAACTCACATCTAAGAAAATCAACAACAATTCAGAAGCATCATCTAATGTCTGGTCCATATTTCAATTTCCCCAGTTGTCCTAAGAAGTTTTTCATGGCTGCAGCTTTCGAATCAGAATCACATATTACATTTGATATTCTTATGTCTCTGTAGTCATTTTTCCTTTAGAATACTCCCCTCCTTTTTGCTCTTTCTTTCTCTTCTTCTATCTTCTTTTCTTTTTTTTTTTTGTTTTTTTTTGTTTGACATGGACTCAACCTCTGTCTTATAGAATAAGCCCACATCTGTATCTCTGACCCTTCCTTCCTGGTGTGGCTTATAGCATGTTCCTCTATCTTCCATAATTCCTGGAAACTGAATGTTAGGTCTACACACATATTTACATAATCCACTTTGGGGACACCACCCAGGTGGCAGGGTGTACTTCCTATTAAATCTCATCAAGTGGTGCATGATGCCAGTTTATCCCAATGCAGTGATGCCAAATCAGATCACGTGTGGAGGTGGTCACACCGGACATCCCCATGAAAAGGCATCCTGCCCCCTGTGCGATTAGTGTCACCTGCAGGTGACCTTGCATATCCTGGTCCCCAATCACCTTTAGGTAGAAAGCTTTAGCATTCACCAATGGTTCTTGGCTGAAACAAGTATGACACTTGCAAGATGGTGACTTATCATTCCTTCTACATTTCTTAGC